CCATTGTCAGTCCTTGGGATTTGTATATGGTGCAACCATAATTTAAGGACAGGGGAAATTGTGACACAGTGTACTTTTCTCCTTGTCCATTTTCAAGTGAAATCTGTGTAGGTCCAATTGGAACTGTTTTCTTCTCTGGTTCAAGGTAAGGGCCCTTATAAGATGTGAAGGTACATATGATGACTGAGGGCGGGTCATCTTGTGGGGTTGCATCAGGATGGTAAATTGTATCAACTACTTCTCCAACAGATCCGTTGACCAAACCTTTCTCAACCCACAGGTTTGAGCGTAACATGATTCTAGATCCTTTTGATAAGTATAATACAGACTCCATATTATCATTGTCAGATAATGAAATTTGTTTAGATTTGCCACTTATCTTAGCAGTAATCTTTGCTGCTGGAATTCTAGCCATAGTTTTGGGATCAACGTTATCTTGTAATTTTCCATAATTGTATTCATCCTTTTCTCTGTTTGTAGGATAAAAATGTGGGGCATCATCAAATAATGTCCTTTCAGCAGGGTGGACATTTGTTGTAAATCTTGTTTGTAGAATTTTATAATCTTCTCTTGAGATGTTCCCAGAACTTATATTATTCAATATATTCTGATACTGAGGATCATTTTGCCGGTGAATGTTTTCCAATACAAATGCTGTATCTATGGAGTCGTACAAAATTTTTCCAGCAATTGCTTCCATGGTTTTTTGATTAGTAGTATAGATTGGTCGATCTATTACTGGAGGGAGTTGGTTGATGTCTCCAAACATATAAAGAAAAAAGACCTCCAAATGGTTCGTTGGGCTCATCTTTACCATGACGTAATCTCTGATCTATCATGTACATTAATTCACAACCAACCATGCTGAATTCATCTATTATAAGAAATTTAACTGGTGCCATAGCTTCCTTGAATGAATGTAGTTTTTGACCATTGAGATGCTTAAAGTCTTCTGTTCTGATGTGAAGTTTTGAATGTATTGTAGATCCATTAATATTCACAGCACTTACTCCAGTGGGGCCAAGTAAGAGGTATGAGCATGGCCCAATTGAATCCATTAGAAGCTTAGTCATTTTTGCAATCACCAAACTTTTGCCAGTTCCTACAAAAAAATCCAAACATTTTATTTATTTGATATTATGTAAATTTTATTGAAATTTCTTTGAGTATCAGGTAAATAATAGAGTAACATACCTGCTTTGCCTTGAATGATTGCAGACTTAGGAATTGGTTGACTACAATGTGTGTCCAAATTTGTTAGTGATGCAATTTGTAGTTGTAGTAAGTGAATAATTTGTTGTTGTTCTTCATTTAAAATTATATCATTGACATAAGCAGATGATGATGGTTGTTCCTGAAACTCTTTTTTCATTCTTGAAATGAAAGCCAAAAGGCTTGGAATTCCTCCGTATTTATCATATAATGCAGAAGCCTCATGCCAATTATAATTTGTGTCAATTTCTCTGCTTCCCAATATAGGTGGTTGAACATTCTCTGAAGGACCCATGGATGACACAGCCATCCATTCTTCTGGAGTTAAGTTATGATTGATGTCTGCTTCTTCAAATTCTTCTCTATCTGGGCGGACATCATTAATATTGAAGACATTTGTGGAATTATATTTGATTATTTCTGTGAAGTCGTCATAAATCTCTTTCCATGTTGATTTGTCTCCTTTTATTTGGACCTCAGTCCGCCATGGCACAAAGAGTAAAACTTGTTGTCTGTAAATTTTTTCCAATGTTGGCTGATCCGTGATAGTTTGAAAACTTTAATTTAGGATAGATCTGAAGGATTGCTTCTTTTGGTCGTTTTCTTTCTGATGGTAAAAGGTAGCATTTTGCTACTTCATATAAACATTTAGCATCAAGTTCTTCACTTCTGTGTTGGTATTTTTCTATGAGACTCAATGAACAGTCATCATTCTTTAATAATCTCCATTCCTCATTGTCATTGAAATTTATTGTTATGAATTCTCTACCTCCACTGGAATATAATTTTAGACCCATTAATAAATGGCATGTCTCTTGGGCAGAGAAATCTCTTTCAGAGCAGGCTTTGATGTACAGTCGTTGTTCAGCATATTTTGCTGTCTTATTCTGATCACCTGCCTCATTGATAATTTTCATAAGTTCACCTAAATGATCTGATCTTGTCTCAGACTTACTTATGTACTTTGCAAGGTAATTCACTAATGCTGTTTTGCTTATTACTGGAGCAACATCCATATTAGCACGCCATGTTTGAATCATATAGGCATTATATTTGTTAAGACGCTCATCATTTCGTTTTGGTAAAAATTCAGGATTTCCACTGTCGTCAAATTTTAGCTTTGCTTCTTCTTGATATTCCTGAGGAAAATTGAACCTACATTTCATTGTCTTATCTTTTTTGCTTTTTCGTACACAATATTGTCTCGAACACACAGTATGTCTTTGGACTCTATTTAAAATTTCTGCCAAATCTACATCCAGGTCTTCAATATCTAGTAAACTTTTCTGGCATGGATGGATAAGACTTGGTGGCTGGTCTATATTAGGGTGGAAAGCTGTAACCAAATCAGCAAAGTATTGAACAATCTGTTCTTGTTCTTCCTCAGACTTATTTTTAAGATCTGTCACGTCAGGTGCATTTTCTATCCAGAGGACACCGTGTAAGTGTGGACTGCCTCTATTTGAAAAGAAATGCAATGTTAGAAGCCATGTAAGTTATTAAGAAAAAAGTATTTAAAAAAAATGTTTTGCTTATTTTACCTGTGTTGGTATTCTATTCTGAACCAGTAATCCTTTACTTTGTATTTCTTAATGACAACCTGTAAAACATATAATCATCAAACTTAAGTCAATTACAATCTAGATTTATAGTGACATAGTTATAATAAAAATGTTCACACACCTCTGCCATGAAGGTTTCAACTCGTTTTAAGAAGAAAGTATCAACAATCAATGGATTATTTTTAACTAACTGTCCTTTTCTGAACATACTCATTGTTGTGAAATCCTCATCTGGTGCAAGTAGTTTGAAAAGTTCAGGCCAATGTAAATCAGCTGCACTGAATGTACAAAATAATGTGGGAAGTCCAATTTGCTCAACCATGCTTAGCAGTTCTTTTCCCCTTGCAAACCAGTAGGATTTACTCCCAGAGATACTTGAATTCCTGTACATTATTTTTTTGATGAGTGTTGGATTTCTTTGAAGTTCCTCTTTGAGTTGGGTCAAAGTCATATTGTCAAATTCTGGGCGAGTTTTGATGAGCAGATTCCCATTCCTCAGGGCAGACCAACGCATATAGCTGTTTAGAGCAAAATAACGGAATCTGTTGTGTTGAGCAAACCTGTCATCCTTATATCTCACGAGATGTTTGAAATAATTCAAGGCACTTTCCATCTTTCCTCTGTGGATTTTTATATTTCCATTTCCATTTGGAAATAAGCATGGGAAGGCCTGTACAATGTATGAGTCATCATTAAATTCATTAATTGGTTGGTTAGAAATAGTTGGCCATGATAGTATGGATACTATTTGGTCAGATCCAACAGCTTTTGTCATGATTGGACTGCCTGATTCATATATGTCTTCTACATTATCTTCAGTAGAGTCAGTTTGATGTTCATTGTTGTTATTGTTTGGTAATGAGACAGCAGGTTCTTCAATTTGTTCATCAATATCAAAGCCATTCAGTATAT